CCTCGTAGTCTGATTGTTGGATGGTCTCATCGCCGCCTACTTCCTTAGACTCTTCTAAAATATCATCGCTGGGTGTGCTGGGTGCACCCCCTAGTCATAATGTACTATGTCAGCCGGAACTTTTGCCGAGCCATCTGATCAATAGTCGGGATCTATAACCTCCCATCTCTCCCAGACGGTATCCCCTGTTCTAGACTCAGCTGTATCCGGTGACCTGCTGACAACTGCCTTATGCCGTACCGTGTGTGTGTTGGGTGAGTCCATTATTCTTTACAAGGTATACAACTGGAAAAGCGCAAAAAAGTTGCTAGGGGTAGATACGGTACCTTGAAGATGTTTAGAGTGTGGAAGAGGTTGACACTTGATCAGTAGGCGGAAATCTGTTTGCTGCTTGCTAGATACCCAGACGGTTGCCCGGATGTACCCACTTGAAGAGCAATTGAAAATTGTTGAAAAACCCAGACGTTCCTGTGAAGTTTTGCTTGATGATACCCCAGACGGTTGACCGGCTGTGGGTGTATTGAAAGCAAAAGGAATCTGTCAAAGGACCCCCAGACGGTTCTAATATGTTTTGAATGGTGAGCACTCAGACGGTAGCCGGTTGAGTGAAGAAAAGAAAGACAGTTGTGCAAGAAATAGCAGTCGGTATCAGAGCTCTCCTTTCTCTCAGAAAGTTTCTCAAAAATGGCAAAGTGAGGAAAATGATTGGGGGGGGGAACCTCTACTTATAGAGGAAATCCCTTAGAAGGCGAACCGTCACCTTCAAAAAAAAAAAGAGAGAGAAGGAGGCGAATCGCCGCCTTCTCAGAAGATGACACTTGTCACACCTGTGAGGGGCAACTATTTAGGGTAAAATAACCCTGTCCACGTGGACTAATAGCATGCTGACACATGTCAACCTCAAAGAGGTTCTAAAAGAACCAATCCTCTGACGACACATGGCAGTCCATGTAATGATAGGGGAGTTAATCCTAAAACCCTATAATTAGGGAGAGATCCCCATTTATTGCACATTCAGAGAAATTCTCACAAAACAGAGCAATATTAATTGCAAATACTCTCTCTCGGAATCTGAGAGAAACTCTTTACATTCAGCACTTTTTACATCCGAGCACGTTCTAACTTGATCGTTGGAGGCGGAACTCCACCCAATCGGAGTTTCCGTGGTTTTGCAGGTACAGACGGTCGGCATCCGGTCTTGGAATTGTAACTCTCCCGAGGGACTCCAAAAACCCTGAATCAAATGGGTTTATTTTTCCAACCTCTTTAATTTTGTCAAATCTCATTATTAATTTGTGTATGGCTAAATTAATTATGAGTATAGCCCTTCAATTTTGTAGCATCAAGATGAACCTAAATTGATTTAAAGAATGGTTCTTAGAATAATTTAGGCTTGTGCACTACTAAAGTTGAATTTAATTAAGTTGGACCTGATTTATTTTTAATTTTTTCTCTAAATTGGTTCTAAAATAAATTTATAATTAATTTTTATCACACATAAATCGGGAATTAAAATCCCGAGGCAAGTGCACGCAAATCGAGGAAAAATCGCCCAAGACATGCCCTTAGGCTAGCCGGGCTGCTCAAGCAGCCCACATATGGCTGCCAAGTTGCGCTAGTGCATGGTGTGTGTGAGAATGTAATGCACACTTGGTGCTATGGGCTGTGCGAGAATGATGCGTGTGCTGTGTGAAGGTGCTCGCAAGTGCTGCTGGGCAGGACACGCTGCCAGCGCCAGCATGCACGCAAGCATGCGTAGTAGGTTGCTGCGATGATGCTGGTGCCAGCAAGCGTGGCGTGCTCTGCTAGGCAAGCATGCCAACACGCACAGCCGCGACCCTAGGTGCCTAACAAGCGTAGCCCCGTGGCTTTGATGTTAGGCACTTGGGGCATTTTGTGGGCTATTGTTTTGTGTAATTGGGGCCGTTTTAATTATTTTAACGAGGCTAGGCCTCGGTTCTTCTGGCACTTGCAAAATATTTTGACAAAATTTGGGTTAATCAACTTAATTAATTTAATAAATAAGTTGGATGCGGAGTTTAGTGGGAGCTTCGTTAATTACTTGGACTATTTGCGCCTTAATCACATAAAATGTTTAACAACTTTGACTCATTTTAATTAGGCGTGTTAATTGGATTAACCACCTAAGTTAGTTGCTAGTTCGCGCGTGTTAATGCATTGTTACTTGTTTATCGTTGTAAAATGCATGGGCCATTCACATATAGTGAATGGATGAATGGAATGTATATTGTTTCACAAGTTTTGTGAAAATGGCAACTAGTGGGGCCCGACTAGGATAGTAAATACGGACTGCGATCTGTTATGTATTTTGTAAATTTAAATACGGTCTGCGTACCGTTGCGTGTTTTTGTACCTCAATATTTAGATTATTACTAGTCGTAGTAGATAGTGGTTGCATAGATTGGCAGAGATGTCTCGAAGACGGCGTTTCTAAGAAGGCAAGCCAAGAAGTTGCATTGGAGATCCTTGAAGATTTGAAGACTCAAGGGGTCATGCTAGTTTCCAAATGCATCTTATACTTATGATTTATATATATTGTGTTTATATATGCTTGAATTGTATGATAAATGCATGTTAAGGATTTCAAATGTTGCGATGATTAATTAAGTTCACTTGAATCAACCAACAGAGAAACCCTAGGTCCCTATAATATTGAGCCAAATTTGCCATTCCAAGAACGACACTTATCGAACTAATGTGCGTGGTGACGGGCTACGCCAAAGCGAGGTGTCACCACTTCCCTAGGAAAGTAAGGTATACTAGGTATACAAGTCGTCTTGGTTAAGCTCAACGATATCAGTAAGGAGTCCTTAAATGTCGTGGTAATGGAGATGTAATGTCATGGAAGCATTAGATGCGAAGTTTTATCGGACCAAGAGTAGCTTGGAGCTATTAGCAGTTGGATTGCTTACCCTAAAATTTTAAGTGTTAAGACAAGCCAAAGCATGCTTAATCACTTTTTGATTTTTGGGACTTGGAATCATTTTATTCTCGCCTAAAAGGGACTAATGTTAACGCGTGGATAAAATGCTCAATAAGATTGAAAATTTGCATGAACACTTAAAATTTCAAACTTATTGGTTTTATGAATGGTTTTTCATTTCAAATTCTTTTAATTGTAGAAATATGTCTGCTAGTAACTCAATCAAAAACTCTATGTGCCCGAAACTCCCTGACAAGTTGGCTTTTAGCCTTAACTTGGTCAACTTCAAGGAATGGGAAGAGGAACTCAGGAAAACTCTTCGGAATTGTTCCTTGAAGTACACTCTTGATACTCCCATTCCAAGCTTCTTCTTTAAGGGAATCATGAGCGATGAGGCTCATGATAAATGGTCTTCCGATTGCAAGAAAGTCTCACGACTAATGGCTAACTCCATCCTGGAAGATTGGAAGGAAAAGCTCTCCTTCTATTTTCCGGACATGTTCCTCAAAGCACTTGAGGACGTTATCAATGTGAGAGTCACCAAGAGTGACAATGGCAACTATGATGGAATTGTGTTTGATGTGACTAGGTCACTCTCGAACATGAAGATAAAGCCATTGGAAGTGGGTTGTCTTGCTAAGGAGAGGCGCCGACTTTGGTCAAGGGTCTACAATATCAAATTGAGACCCGGTATGCCCCTCCGACCTCATGTGCTTGGAATGATTAGGCTCTTCAAGCACATGGAGCTTCTCGGAATCTCATTGGAGGATGAGATGGCGGGTCATATCTTGCTTGCTTCACTCCACTCGGGCTATGATGCACTTAGAGTGCATATAGTTGCGGGAAAGGAGACACGCTCTTTAAGAGAGGTGGTGCAACTCCTTCACCGAGCTACCTCCTATGGAGCAACCAAAAGGCCCTTGAGAGTAAGGAAGAGGGAGTTCAAGAACAAGGCGAAGATGCGATGCTTCTGTTGTGGTGGGAAAGACCACTACAAGAGGGAATGCAAGCTCTTCCAAAAGGATGAGGAGGAGAGGAATGTTTCATCTGCCGCAGGTATCTTCATCAGCACTTGTGTATAAAGCTATTCATAGGTATTGGATACCATGTGTAACTCACTTTATGTTTACTTTTCAGGAACCAAGTGAGAGGGCTTCACAAGTGGATGTGCAACTACAAGCGGATGACAAAGATGGTCTTTCGATCGTGCTTGTAGGCACATTTATTTTGTCTATGGATTGTAATTTACTAATCTTAGTTTCTCATGCTTTTGAACATACTTTTGATCTATGGTGTTGGACACCGGGTTACTTTGATCACAAGACTTAAACAATGGTTGTTTTTTTGAAATGTCTTTCTTATATGTTCTATAAAATTGCATGTTTTACATATGATTAGACAAATTGACGATACCGCCAAAAGAGCTAAGACCATTGAGTCGAATTAAACCTACTTGTGGCATTGTCGTCTTGGCCACATTAACATTAAACGCATCAAGAAACTTCTTCATGAAGGTATTCTTGACTCATTCGACTTGGAGTCGTTTGAAAATTGCGAAGGATGTCTGTTAGGCAAGATGATAAAGCAGCCATTCTCCAAGTTAGGAGAAAGGGCTAGTGACTTATTAGGTCTAATACATAAGGATGTATGTGGATCAATGAGTCCACCTGCAAGGAATGGTTGTCGATATGTCATCACCTTCACGGACGACTATAGTAGATATGGTTATTTCTACCTTATGTCGAACAAATCTGAATCCTTTGAGAAATTCAAAGAGTTTCAAAGTGAAGTTGAAAATCAGCTTGCCAAGAAAATCAAAGCACTTCGATCGGATCGAGGTGGCGAGTATTTGAGCCACGAATTCGACGATCACTTGAAAGAAAATGGTATTCTTTCAGAATTGACACCTCCCGGAACTCCACAATGGAATGAAGCATCTGAACGGAGGAATCGAACCTTGTTAGACATGGTTCGATCAATGATGGGTCTTAGTGAACTTCCTATCTCTTTCTGGGGACACGCACTTCTAACTGTGGCACTAACACTGGTAGAAAAAATGAATTACGCAGCGCACTTTTCGCACCAGTTCTTGAAAACCAGTGGGAAAAGAAATGGGCAGGATTGGGGAAAATATTTTTCCCACCGGTTCCTAATAAACCGGTGCGAAATCATATTTTTCGCACCGGTTCAAACCAGTGCGAATTACGAAATATAAAAAAAAAAACCGGGCTGCTTTTCTTCTTCTTTCTTTCTTTCTTTCTTTCCATGTTCTGTACTTTTAATTTCCCTCTCGTTTTCGCCTTCGTTCTCTATCCAGAATCCCGAATTGCCCTAGCTTTCTTACTCCATTGAAGCATCACCTCCGCCTTCTCACTCCATTGAAGCAGCACCTCCGCCTCCATTGAATCGTGCTCTATATTCTCCATTGAAGCCGAATCTGAGCTTTCTCACCTCCATTGAAGCTGCTCCTGGTTTGCTTCGATTTCGCTTTCCTTTGCGATTGATGAATTGTTGGTTGATTTTGTTGCTGTTGTTTTAGGGTTGTCGAATCTGGTTGTGTTATTCATGTGTTATTGGATTGATTTTTAATGGATTTACTCGTGAATTTGTTCTATGTTTGAGTGATTTTTGCCAATTGAGGTTAATTGGAAGAAATTAAGGGTTTTCTAATTTCTCGAGGCTGTTAATTGGAAGAAATTAAGGGTTTTCGAATTAAGGGTTAATTGGAAGAATGTCATGCAATTCAATTTCGTCAGGTCTCTTTCAATTTATGTACATACATTATTGTTGTTAATATATAATTTGTGAACTCTTGTTATTGTATATGTTGAAAATTTTGAAATTTATTTTATTCCATTGAGTTAAATTTATCTGTATTAAGTAGATATGATGGCATTGAGTTAGATTTAAAATTTATTTTGCGGAACTAAGTTAAATTCTTGCTATAGTGAATATTGGTGTTTTATGTATTGGTTGATTTTTTTTTTTTCTAGGTCAATTTGATTCTTTAGAAGTGGGAAATTGGTGTACAACTTATGGTATGAAAACGCAAAAAGATTGATTACTAATAGTCATTTCAACTGAAGATACTTATTATAGTATAAGACTATCAATACTAATTCCATGAACAAATATCGCCACACCAAAATCAATTAGGGAAATATTGGCAAAGCGTGTCCCAATCACAAAGACCACTATTGCAGGAACGAATGACATAGGAAGGTTGTGTGTTGGTCAGGGAGTCTAAATCATACAGTCATTTTTATGTTTTCTATTTGTAAATTATAAAACTGAGTGTAATTCTTTTGTTTCATCACACCAGCAGGAACTCTAAGGGTCTTATTGTTCTAATGAAGACTACTGATAAGGGTAAGTCTGATCAATTTATCACTATTTTTTTTTTGCCTGGTATCTTTACTAGTTTAGATTCTTTGAATTAAGCTAAGTAGTACTCTGTATTATTGTATTACTCATATTTATAAAAGGGCTACATTTAGTGTTAGTTAGATGCTAAGTTAGTGGGATGCTTCTCATTGGTTTGTTTGCCCTTTATGGCGGTCTTGTTACTAATTGAGCTTTTGACAATCTAAATGTTGACAAAACAATACCATGGACATTAGCCTGAGCCGTTGCTTCTAAAATGTAAATTCATTCGCGTTCATTGAATGAGCCTTTACAGTCTTTAATATTTGTATGTTATGGCTCTTTCACATCAGGATAGTTCCTTGATACAATTTTTGAGTTTATAGATTTGCTTGTAGTGTCTGATTTTCCGTAGTACATTGTGCCAACATCAATAGGTAGTCGTCTAAGTTGTATTGAAATTGAGATGCCTTGTAGTGTAGGTAAAGATTAAACTGAAGTGGGAGAATGGAGAAAGCTATAGAGAGATGAAGGGAACTTCTATATCATTTTTTGTTTGATGTTAGCTAAGTAACAGTAAGCTAAATAGCTAACCTCTGTAAATTAATGTAAGCAATTTATGGAACTGAAATTGAAACTAAGTTTTATACTTTGTATATCAGAACTACTCTTCTAGCCTTGACATTATTGTTTTTATTCTATGTTATTACTCAAAAATTCACCTCAAAATCTAGTGAATGTATTTGTACATAACTCTGAGGGTCTCTGATACAAAGAAAAAAAAATTCGCTTCTTAGTAGCTAGCACAAAGCACTCTAGCAGTAGGCGATTATGATTTTCTGTTTTCATATTCTCCTTCTGCTCATTTTATACGTTAGTGAGATAATTTTGATTACTGTTAACTTGTTTTTTTTTTATGCAGGCCTGATAATGAAAGTGATTACCCAGATGGGTCTTTTTCCTCTGATCCCGATGAAGGTGAGAATTTACTTCGCAAAACTATAAATGATTTTGAAATCCCTTTTCTTACTGACAACTATTCTGCCTAAAACTGGAGAAAATGAAAAGTACTAATATCTGCCTTACTATATATGAGTCAGTTGCTTAAATTACCAGTATGTACATGATCTGTACATCATTTAAATGCTGATGCCTGCTGACATGACCTGTTTGTCATGTGTGAACCTGTTCTGGTTTCATGTATACATGAACATGAAATTTCTGCTTTGTTGCAAATACAATTGACCGAGCTGCATGTATTTCTTTTTCTTAATTAATGTGGGGCTATACCTAACATAGCAGAGTTAGCTTTAAGAAAATTCTCCATAACATGATTTCTTGGTTTCAACTTTTTGAGGGGAATTATACTGCATGAATTTACATGAGTTGACTGCTAAAGATACGTTTTCTTTGTTATAGGGAGGTTCCAAGATACAGAACTTAATTAAATTCAATTTTAATAGTGCACAAGCCTAAATTATTCAATAACCATTCTTAAAATCAATTTAGGTCTATCTTGATGATACAAAATTGAAGGGCTATACTCATAATTAATTTAACCATACATGAATTAATAATGAGATTTGACAAAATTAAAGAGGTTGGAAAAATAAACCCATTCATCTAATGAAAAATTTCCAACACTAACTTGTGTATAATTGAAAAATTATATCTTCCAATATGAAGTTTAATTAAATTTCAATCACAAGTTTTGAACTTTTAGGACTTTAATCAACTCAAAAATGATTAAATCCAAAAATTAGTTCAACATGAAATTTAGCAATCAAAGTTCCAACCAAATAAACAATTAAAGATTTTATCTTTAACATATTAGGGACTTCAAAATTACAAGTTCACCATAAACATTCACACTTGAAGCAATTTATTTGCAAAAATGTGAAAATTTCAAGTTTATGTGAAAAATGAACTCACCAAATTAAGCACCAATTATAACTTCATAAACATGTTTAATAAGGTTTATAATTGCAGTAGATTGGTGATGCAACCATACATTTAATCTACCTTTAACATGCGATAATTAATCAAGGTTTAAAGATTTAAATTTTTTTGTCAAAAACGATAAACCCCTCGAAAAACATGTTTCTGGGTGGATTTTGGCTTCTGGACAGCCCTCAAAGAGAATAAAAAACGATTTAGAACATCGATTCCACCCAAAAATCACTATTTTCTAGTCGAAATCTGGGTTCGTTGGCCAGAATTAGTAAAATATACGAGATTAAAACGAGCTTTTAATTTAATTAGAAAGAAAAACCAGAATTTAAATCCATTTTAAATCATCTCAATTAATTATTACTTACAATAATTAAAATGAGCGCGGCTCCGATACTGCTGTTGGGTTTCGTAGCGTCCAACGCTACGCGGAAGAGAAACTTGCCCAAGACCCGCCCACTAATTAAAGCAACTAAGCATGCAATCACATAATTAACAACATAAGAGAGAGAAAAAGAAAAGACATTCTTACCCTTGACACGTGCTTCGCTCGATTCACGAGCTCTTACTTCAAAGCTCGAGCCACGCAAGTGCGAAGGCCTCCTACGGCTTGCACCCTCGACCCTTCCTGAATGGTCTTAATCTCGAGGGTTAGTCGGGACATGACCAAATAAAACTAGAGTATTACGAACTTAAAGGTTTTCTCACTAATGATGAGATGGCTTATTGAGTTCAACACAAGTGATTTTTCCCAAACCCAAAACTTGGGTATTTATAGGGAATGGAGACTTGATCTCCCTTCTCCCATCAATGTGGGAGATTTACATTTTCCTCTATTTTATTTTAATCAAAAACAAAATGAAAATGCAAGGCAATTAACAAGCTTCAAGTGTCACATGGAGGGAGAGAGTAGGTGAGGACCACCAAAGTGGGGGACCAAATCACCTTGCTCCACACGCCACACACTAACCCCTTGGTCCCCTCCTCTTGACTGGATAACCATGCCACGTGGCTGGCTGGCAGCCTGCCTTGGCTGCCAAGGCTGCCAGCTGGCGCCTAGCACCAAGGCTGGCAGCCTAACCAGCCAGCACGCATTACACGCGCAGCTTGCCAGCACGCAACACATGTGCAGCCAGCAAGCACGCATGCGATGCTGCTGTTGCTGCTGCTAGGTGCTGCTACGTTAGCACGCACGCATAGCTTGACATGCCTAGCACGCTTCTGCGATGCTCGTGCTAGCGAGAGCACTGTTGCTATGCGATGCTGCTGCTTGGTGAGAGGCTGCGAAGAGCTGGCACGCACGCAAAGCATGTTGCGATGGCTGGCTCTACTTGGCTAGCAAGCATGCACACCCACCCACACACACGCATGGCTTGCGGTGCTACGTGCTGCGCTGTGCGATGCCTAACATGTTGCGATGCTCATGCTAGGTGCGTGCAATGCTTCTGCTGGGTGCGTGGCCTTCCTTTTCCCTGTCTTAGGGAAACAGATCTTGAACAGCTCAATCAAGGGCCGGTTCCCCTTCTTTGTTTTAGGATGTGGAGTAGGGACACAGTCCTTGACTGGTTTATTTTTCTCTTAAAGAGAAGGTTTCCTGGCCGATTGCCCCTTGTTGGGGCCATCCGTCCTTTTCTCAATTAAGTCCTTTATTTTCCCTTTGAAACTAGTCATGAATTTCATGAGTTCGTCTCTAGTAACTGGGGCTGCGCCTTCTGTCGCCTGGGGTTGTCCATCCAGACGGCTGTCCGGTTGGCTCACTTGGACCAACTTGCTCTTTGCCCCGTTCCCTTGTTTCCATGGGACGGGTGCGCTTAGTTTTGAGTGAACCGTCAGAAGCTACATAGGTGTCGACATCAAAGTCTTCATCACTGTCTTGGTCTAAATAAACCTGAACTTTGGCCGTAGGCCGTTTCTCATTAGTTGGCGGTACAAACTCATGTGAAGCCATCTCAGTATTCTCCCTATAGACGGCGCCAAATGTTTCGGGGTTTTCTGTGTCCCTCGGGAGAGTTACAATTCCAAGATTGGATTCCAGGTGCCTGTACCTACAAAACAACGGAGACTCCGGTTGGGTGGAGTTCCGCCTCCGACGATCAAGTTAGAATGTTTTTGGAAGATAAAAGATGCGGAATGTAAAGTGGGATTAGGTTTTCTCTATTGAGAGAAAGGATCATCCAGCTATCATAGATAGCCTCAGTATCCGAGTGTTTCACTCTCGTGTGTAATTAATTCTACAATTATTGCTCTATCTGATTAATTAATCTAATCTCTCTTGTTGAATAATTAATGTCTGTGTTTCCTAAGAGGAAACATCTCCCTTTTATAGGGTCTGGAAATACGTGTCCATCCTAGGTTACAGAAAACCTAGGACTGACGGGCTGCCTAGGGATTTGGGCCTTGAAGGCCGCCAAGCCTCACTGAATATCTGTCTGCCACGTGTCGAGACCTGGTAGGTCCACTTTGGGCTCTCCTTAGGGTGACACGTGACGGACTCTGATTGGTCCACGTGGCAGGGTAAAAATACCTTAATCACGCCTTACTTTAATTAAATCACTAATTTGATTTCAAAACCCTAATTTCATTTCAAAACCCCTAATTTAAGTTTCTAAAAGCATAAAATAACAATACATACCTCACTATAAAGCATTTGAGTATTGAAGCAAGGAGAATGATTTTTGAAACCTTCAATTTAGTTTTCATTTTTCGATTTTAGGGTTTTGCCCAAATTTGAGATAGATGAATGAATAGAGAAGGAAAATCGTGAGAAGAAAGAAAAAAAAGAAGAGAAAAGTAAGGGATGGGGTCCAAAATGATATCATGTAAGAGGTGGTAAATTTTGATATTACTAAAACGTGAATTATATTAAGTGGTAATTACTAAAAACGTGAATTATATATAATCACCCTTAACCATTCAATCTGCAAACACGATCGAACAAATAAATTTTCAGCATTACAACTACTAGAACTACTATTCGGGCTTAAGATTAATTATCAGTATAAATTTCAAGATATTTCAATGAATTTAATTTTAGGGGCATGAGGATTACTGCCAGATTTACTTTACAGGGGATGATATAGGGTACCAGAAAATATTTCCAGGGGGTGATAAAAGGTACCGGAATAAATTTACGGGGGTTGATAAATGGTACCGGAATAAATTTCCGAGGGTTTATGAAGGGTATTGGAAATTACTTTAGGGGGTAAAGGGTACTGGATTTCTTTAGGGCTTAAATTATTATTGTTATATTATCAAGAGGTATTGATAAGAGTTGGATCAATGGGGAATAGGTGGTGTAGAAGAAAAATTGCAGAAGCTTTCTTTCATCAACAAGTATAAGCGTTCTTTCTTTAACTAGTTGTGGACCCGCGCGCGACGCGGTTCCCCAAGTTATCAATGTATATTTTCGATCGATTTTGTTATCGATGTTGTTTCTCGAGTGATTTTTTTAACATTTCATCATCCACCAAGTGCAAGCTCGGAGCCTCATAATCTGGCTTATATAGCAGAGTATCATGAAGCCGAACAAAGTGCAAGCTTCTATCCATTCAGTATGGCTAAATATACAAGAATAGAGGACTATAAGCTGAAAAATTGCATAACAGAACTTTTGAAATTAAGAGCCTAAATCTGAAATTATAAAAACCTTGCTGAATTGTTGTTTGTAATACAATTTAGTTTATGTCTAGGACTACTGAAATGTCTAATACCATTCAAATAAAATCACATGAAACGTTCACCCATCACAGATTAGCGAGATCATGATGGGATGGATAAATCAACAATTAGACTTTGACAGAAGAAAGGCGGTAGAATGGTGTATGATCTGTACAGGATGTTGCTTAGATAAAACATATATGATCAACTTATGCAATACAATAATATTTCATTGTCAGGTCATAAAGGTTCATCACAAGAAATGAAGAGAAGCCTCAATTGTCAAATTTAGCTTTCTACAATATCTGTACTACCAAAATGCAAGAAAGAGAACTTTTAAAGTTCATCAACCAACAAAATGGAATCAGATATGGTCAAAATCAGAACATGAGACAAGAGATGTATCTCTAAGGATCAAAAATCTGTGGCTGCATCTATAACAAAAAAAGACTTCAGAGTGAAAGCTGGCAAATAAAGGGAGCGTTCATTTGCAGTTCACACTCAGATAATTGATTACCACTCATTCATACTCACTCGTCTAGAAATATGTTAATTAGCGGTTAATAAGAGTCTACAAGAAAGAACAAATTGTACTCTTCAAATTGTACTACAGTAAGAGACTATAATAGATAATTTAAATTTCTAGCAATTCTAAAACCCAGCCCTGTTTGATTGAATAATTCGGCAATACAAAATTTTAAATAACATATATTCAAGGTTTGATTACCGGGAACACAGTCCAATGTCTAATGTATACTCATTCTTGTATTTACGCTGTAATGCAGAAAATCAAAGCCAAGGAGAAAAAACTTTTAAGGGCAACATTTAGCCAACTCACTTTCGCTATCAACACATTTTTCACGTTCAATGCAGAATTTTACTTTCCTAAGGAAAGCAACACGGATAAACGTTCAATGCAGTACCACACTTGAATCAGTTGCGGGTTTTGCAAGATTTAAGCATTGTATGTTCCTAATTATTTTTCTTTAATCCCACTATACTAACAAAGTAACACAACATTGTTTAAATACTCTATCATTCATTAAATTTGGTACAATACCAATCATTTTCGGTTATACTAACTCCTTAATTTTATACTCCGTATCAAAGAACAAAAGTTCTTGCGTACAACCGGCTAACACTAACCTTAATGTAAGGCCTGATTCACACGTGCCAATTAGAGTATAAATAGCGCTAAATTAGAGCCGCATGCAAAACATCGTCTTCTTAGAAATATTCTCTCAAATTCTCTGCAAATTCTCTGCAAAACATCGATGGATTCCCTAATTCACAAAGTATTACAATCTCAAAAACAAATTCAAGCTCCAATTTCAAACGATCTGCAAACTTCAGAAGAAATTGAAGTTGATTCTGCTATTAATGTTGATTTAAATAACAACTCTATGCAACAAACCCTAAATTGCAGGCAATGTGGCAATAATATTGACCTAAATTGCAAAATCGATGACAATGCATTGCATCAAAACCTCAATTCAGGTACGTAATTTTGTATATGAATTTGTACAAATTTACTAAAAATAGGTAAACTGGTGATTGAATAAATTACGATGAATCCAGATTCACATGAGAGTAGAGTTCATCTCGATGAAGAACAGTCTCAGCTGATGAAGTGCAAATCTCGGCGGATGAAGAGCAAATCTCAGTGGATGAAGGTTCAACTTCTGAAGGTAACATTAAGCTTTTGAACAGTTGCAGAATTGTTTAAACTGAAGTAAAGGTGGGCAACGTACCTTGCCGGGCCGTGCCTAGCGGGCCACTGTCTCCGGCGTGCTGGGCCGTGCCGTGCCACCGTGCCAGAGGAAGCGTGTCGTGCCGTGCCACCCAAAAGCCCACGGCACGACCCACGTGCAGAGTGGGCTCGTGCTGGGCTGGCCTACGTGCCGAGTGGGCTCGTGCCGGGCTGGCCTACGTGCTGGCCTGGTGGGCTGCTGCCTTTCCTTTGTTTTTTTTTTATTTTTTTAAATTTTTAAAAGTTTATAACTTATAATCTTATACTCCCTCTGATTTTTTTTAATTGCAACTCTTGCTATTTTAGTCCGATTTTAATTAAATGCAACTTTCTATGTTATTTCTATTTTGGGTAAACAAAAACCCTTAAAATTACTACTTTACCAAGTGGTGGGCCAAACTTTCTCTCTCTACACACTACTTTAAACTATTTTACCCACTACTTTACCAAGTGGTGGGCCAAACTTTCTCTCTCTACACACTTTAAATCAACTTCAATCAACCCCACTTTTACATACCCCTTAACTTTTGCATCGTGAACCGTGTAAGGCCTCAAAGTTGCATTAAAAAAAAATCGGAGGGAGTATTATTATTTTTCTAATTTAAATTAAGTTAATTTATGTTTTATTATTTTTATATTTAATATTTATATTTATATATTTAGTTTATACTATTACTTTATAGTTTAATGTTTATAATTTATTATATTTATTTTTGTATTATTAATTATTATAACTTAACGGGGAAAAAAGACAAATTGTACTTTGGATGTGAATAATGCATACTTGATATTATTATTACCTGAAAAAATTGTACAATGATAATAATAATGATTAAAATCGTACAAGGATATTAAACAAAAATTGGATAATGATAAAAATCGTAAAATGATAATATTGATAATGATAAAAATCGTACAATATACAAAAATTGTCTCTTTTCTTTTCTTCTTCTTCTTCTTCTTCTTCTTCTTCTTCTTCTTCTTCTTCTTCTTCTTCTTCTTCTTCTTCTTCTTCTTCTTCTTCTTCTTCTTCTTCTTCTTCTTCTTCTTCTTCTTCTTCTTCTTCTTCTTCTTCTTCTTCTTCTTCTTCTTTCTTCTTCTTCTTCTTCTTCTTCTTCTTCTTCTTCTTCTTCTTCTTCTTCTTCTTCTTCTTCTTCTTCTTCTTCTTCTTCTTCTTCTTCTTCTTCTTCTTCTTCTTCTTCTTCTTCTTCTTCTTCTTTCTTCTTCTTCTTCTTCTTCTTCTTCTTCTTCTTCTTCTTCTTCTTCTTCTTCTTCTTCTTCTTCTTCTTCAAGGTCATCGGCTAGTTGAATAGATTTGGAACTAGTCGAACCCGAACGGTCGGAAGCGGAGGTTCATTCATCGTTGTCGTCGTAAGAACGGTCTTGTGAGCGATTTTCAGCATCCAACCAATCTTTGAAACACACACACATTTCAAATGTTTCGGGTTTTAGACTTGTTCTTCTCTCGTCTAAAACCCTCTTGGATGCGCTGAAAGCTCGTTCGGAGGCAATGGAGGAGACTTGGATACCAAGAATGTCTCGTGCCATTGCCGCCAAAGTTGGATGCTTCGTGCTTTGTTGTTTCCACCATGCAAGGGGGTCGAGGCTGTTTATCCCATCGTCGTCCATGCCCTTGGTGAAGTCGTAACTTAGGTACATTTGCAACTTCGAAACATCGCTTTGCGTTCTCCTTATTAATGAATCACCTGAAAACCTTGAAATCAAGTTAGTAGCTTGTGAAAATAAATATTTGGCCTTCTTACTTACGTTTTTGGATGGTTGGGAAGGGCCTGAGCGAGGAACGATGCCATATTTGGTTTCATAGACTCTATATAAAGAAAAAAGCTGATCCTTCACATTACTCTTATAGGTTTCTATATTATCGTCAAAAAACATGCATAAAAAATAAATGTCAACTAACATAAATGTATTTTAATACTTTTTCCTAGGATCTAATATGTAAGCAAAAATATAAATCAAAGGAATTTCACTATAATATTTACGCCACTTTGTTTCCATTGCTGGAAGATATTGATCATAATCACTTTGGTTGCGATGATCAGCGAAAAGTTGGGCGAGTAAACATGCATTTGAAAGAAAGTTTTGAGCACAAGGATTATAAACAGAAGAAAAACAAGACGTCATATTATATAATAAATGTAACAATTGCATATATCATTCACATTTATCCCAATAATCCTCATATGTAGCATTGTTTGGAAATTTTTGGTTGTAAAAAAATTGTCAACGGATTCTTGTACTCAATTGCTAACATGTCATAGGTGGAATTCCACCTAGTTGGGCAATCGGTTTTGATTTTTATTGCTCTTATCTTTTGTTGCTTTAGAAAACACTTCCATTATTGGTATCTCATGTTTGAGCTATTAATAGACATAATAGCATCTCTAATTTTGTTATAGTATGGACCAATTGCTCTAATTCCATCTTGTACACATAAGTTAAGAACATGGCAAACACATCTAGTATGAAGTGCGTCACCATCTAATATTACATTGGTCAAGTTTTGTTTGACATAATTAGCAGTATATGTCATTGAGGTTGCATCGTCAAATGTCATAGACATGATTTTTTCTCGAAGGTTGTATTTATTTAATAGTTTCCATTAAATGGTGAGCAATGTTAATACCGGTGTGGGGGTATTCCAGCATTTTGAAATGGATTATTCGTTTTTGTAACAACCATTGATCATCTACCCAATGGCAAGTCACGCATAAATAGTGATATTTATAACCACTATCCCAAGAATCGGCAGTCAAAGACACTCTACAATTAAGTTTACTCAATTCGTCTTGTAACCGCATTTTGTACTCTAGGAAGTTTTTCATGGCGGCGGAACGAACGGTTTTCCTAGAGATTCTTTTATGGTGGGGTTGTAATGCTTTGTTAATGTAAGTGTTAAATGGGTCACTTTCGGAGAAAAGAAAAGGTTGTTCGGCGTGTATTATCATTTTCCCTAGTTCATCCCTATCCCTCTCATAGTTGTAGGTAAGCCGTGTGGATGGAATTGGGAAATTTTTGGCTGGGTTAGATCACTAGTTGGTTGTGCACAACTTCTCATGTGTCTACTTAGGTGTCCCGTCCCGGATTTGGATTCTTTCGAGTATATTTTACCACATGTTCTACATTTTGCTCTTGTTTGGGCTACATTTAGCAGAAAATAATGCCATACATCACTTTTGCGGCTTTAAATATTTACCATGTCACTTTCGGTTAACCATTGCTCGTGTGTTTGGGAATTGGGTGTTTGTAGATTCGGGGATTTGTTGGTTAGTAGTAGAATCGGAGGCATTTAAGGTATCTAGTTGGCTACCTTGGCTAGAATAAAAATTTTGTGGGTCACAAAAATTAGGTGGGAATTGACCGAATTGTGGAAATTGGATTTGTGGTGGAAATTGGTTTTGTGGAAATCCGGGCATATTCATATTATTCATGTTATAGGGTTGAAAACCGGAAGTACCATCGTGCCTAAATTGTTCAAAGCCTAGGGGGACGTTACCGGGGTCATTAGTCGGACTTGAAATTAGGGGAGTAATTGGATTAGGTGATTCCCTAGAACTATTACCACGGACAAATCGGGCTTTCCTAGAGAATGATGGGTTGTTCATGTTTGGTGATGCCATAACAAACAATAATAACAATTTTAACAATAACAATAATAATAATAATTAATAACAACAATTATAACAATAACAATAATAATGATTAATAACAAAAACTATAACAATAACAATAATAATAATAATTAATAACAATAATTATAACAATAATAATAAGTAATAACAATAATATTAACAATAATAATAAAGATTAGTTAGATCTTACAACTGTGCTTCAACGCTTTCCACTAATTACGATTACGAACTTTTAACTTTTTTTGATATTAATAAAAATAATTAGAGAATATAAGTGAATAAGAGATTAAGAGAATTAGAGATTAAGAGAAGAGATGAGTTGAATTGTGATTTGGAAGTGAAGTGAAATTTGGTATTTATAGGCAAATTAGGGAAAAGAGCCGTTAATGGCCATTAGAAAGAGGGGAAGAGCAACGACAGCAAAGAAACAATGGCTCTAATTATAGCCGTTATTGGCGTGCCAAGCCGTGCCGGCACGCGGGCCAAGAGGTGGGCTCGTGCCGTCCCGTGCCGGAAAATGGCAATTTTGGTCCGTGTCACGACCCACGGCACGCCAGGCGACGATCGTGCCAGGCCGAGCCAGCTGTCGGGCCGTGCCGTGCCACGTCGACTTTCGTGCCGTGCCGGGCCGCCCGCAGGCCAACCCGACCCGTGCCCAGCTTTAGGCCCTGTTCACTTCACCTTATTTTTGCTGAACTGAAATTATTTTTACTGAAATGAAATTATTTTTATTGAACTTAAATTATTTTTACTAAACTGAAATTAATTTTGCTAAACTGAAATTATTTTTGCTGAACTGAAATAGTTTTTACTGAATATTATTTTTTTAAGGTGAAGTAAACAGGGCCTTAGCTTTGTTTTCCTTTTTTTTTTTTTCATTTTACTGTTTTCATTTGTTTTCTTTATTTTTTTATTTTATTTTTTTTTTCCTTTATTTTATTCCTTTCATTTTATTATCTTTGTATATAAATACCCCTTTTGGGGTTAATACTCTCTAAAAAAAATAAACCCCTTATTTCATCCCAGATTAGATTAGAACTCTCTCTTATCTTCTCTCTCTTAGCTTAGGGTTAGATTAGTTTCGGGTTCTTAATTTTTTTAAAGAGAGGAAGTGAGAAAAATCAAGAAAAGATTGGAGGCTTTAGAAGATTATTTAGTGACATAATCAATTTGAAGAAAGATTCATCATACATTGTGCATTTCTTACCCTCCCTCCTCTATTTAGTGTTTTATTTATTACATGCTTTTATTGCTTTAATTTTATTAATTGTTTTTGCTTTATTTTAATCTTGGTTTATTGTTATTAATTTGTTATTTACTTTCATCTCTTTATTTGTGTGTTTATTTATTTGATTTAATTATGCTTGAGTAGATTAATAGCTAGAGTTAATTATGTGAGCCTCCTTGATTTGACCACGAGCCCTTGTCGGGATCGGGTGCTTAAAATTGTGTAGTGTGCTTGGGAGATACCTAGATGGTTAGGCAATACCCCCTCTAATTTATTGAGAATGCCCATTTATATTGTTATGTTTGTGCTCGTCTCGTTAATTCCCTTGATCCCCTTTCCCTAGCGCCTTCACTTCTTGTTTTAGCTTCTTCTTTTGTGTTCTATTTGCTATTTTATAGGTTGCAATTGCCGTTTATACACCAAAAAAAAAAGACCCTCAATAAGCGAATTTCACTTTAGCCAATTCTTTTCACCTACTTCCTTGTGGATACGATCCCTACTCCACTATATTACTCTTTAGTGTAAAGGTTAGGGTATAATTTAACTAGGTTCCTAGACCCACGACGCCTAGGGACCCGATCAAAAACCCTTGGCATCCAACGCTGAAATTGAAATACTGTTTTTGGTAATGTTTGGAACATGATAACATTCATCTAGTTCTAAAAAAAGGCCCGAGGGCAAAGACAAACCGAGTGTTCCTACAGATACGGCAGCAATCCTTGCTCCATTGTTTACCTGAAGCTGAACTTGTCCCTTCGCTAGATTTCTACTTTTCCTTAGTCCCTGAGAATTGGAACATAGGTGTGAGCCACATTTGGTATCAAATACCCATGAAGCATTTCTAGCAATGTTAAGGTCTATAACGTATATACTTGATCTAGAAGCAACAGTGTCGTTCTTCTTATCCTCCTTGAGCTTGAGGCAGTACCGTTTCCAATGCCCTTTCTTTTTGCAGTAGAAGCATTCGGAGTCGGACGGAAAAGAGACTATCTTCTTTTTCTTGTCGCCTTTGGTAGCTTTTGGCTTAGGCGAAAAGGTCTTCTTACCCTTCCCCTTATAGCCTTTCTTCTTGCCTGATCGCTTGAATGGTTTTCCCTTTTTTACCATAAGCATGTCATGCTTCCCCTCATTTTTGAGCATTTACTCGGCTTGCTTCAACATTCGGTGAAGCTCCGTGAGGGTTTTCTACATGCTGTGCATGTTATAGATCATCTTGAACTGATCGTAACCTTTATGCAGCGAGTGGAGAATAATGTCAATTGCCATCTTGTTTGAGTATCCCGCATCAAGCCTCTCCATGTTCTCGAATAATCCAATCATTTTGAGTACATGAGAGCTGATGGGCTATCCTTTCTTAAGCTTGCACTCAAGGATTTGTCGATGGGTCTCAAACCTTTCGGTCCTATCCCGCTCTTGAAACATATTCTGAAGTTCAGATATGATCTCAAAAGTCGTCTCCTCAAAAAATGTCTTTTAAAGATCTAGAGACATTGTGGCTAGCATGATGCATTTGACATCCCGGTTGGCAACAATCCACCGGTTCAGCGAAGCTTGTGTCACCTCCTCATTTGGAGTGTCAGACATTTTCTCATCAAGGACATAATCCTTTTGTTCTTGCATAAGAACAATCCTCAAATTCCTTTGCCAATCGAGGAAGTTAGTTCCACTTAATTTCTCCTTGTCGAGAATTGAATGGAGAGAAAATTGGTTGTTGTTGGTATTAGTTGCAAACATTGTACTACAAATGAAAATAATTGTTATGAATCACCATTCATAAACCAATAAGTTTGAAATCTTAATCATACTTGCAACATTTAATCTTATTGACGTTTTATTCATAAGTTTGTCCCAATTAGGCGAGAATAAAACAATTCTAAGATCCCAAAAATCAATAAGTTATTAAGCATGCTTTGTCTTGTCTTAACACTTATCATTTTAAGATAAGCAATCCAATTGCTAATAGTTCCAAACTATTCTTGGTTTGATAAGTTGTCGCATCTAATGCATTCTTGACACTTATCTCGTTTGCCACAGTATCTAAGGATTCCTTACCGATATTGTTGAGTTTAACCAAAACTAACGCGTATATCTAATATACCTTATGATTAGGGGATTTTTATCCACCAATCAGCATCCGACACGTGGGCCAGCTAGGTTTCGCCACGTGTCCTTCATGTAGGCCAATAGGAGCCTGCCACGTGTCATCAAGAGATTCGTCCTCCTTGGACCAATTGCAATGTGACACGTGTCCACCCATGCCAAATGGGAAAACCGGCCAACAAGGCCCTATCGTTGTGGGAGGCCCAGTCAGCCTTAGGTTTAACCTAAACCTAGTACTGGCACACATCCCAAGGCATATAAATATGCCCATTAATCTTCATTAAGGGGGAGGACGCACATTTAACACTCTCACCTAGAGAGACCCAATTACTTTTATTTCTGCATTAATTACTCCTTAATCAAGTACTAACTTGACCGTCGGAGGCGGATCTCCAATCGTCCGGAGCATCCGTTTGTTTTGCAGGTACAGGCGTCCGGTTCCAGTCTCAGAATTGTAACTCTCCCGCAGGACATCAGAAAACCCCGAAACATCTTGGCGCCGTCTGTGGGGAGAGTACTTCTGAGATGGCATCCACGTCTGTACCGACTCCTGAAGAGAGGTGTCCCCTGGACGACCCTCAAGTTCAGTCGGACCATGATACTGAGGAAGAATTTGAAGTTGAAGCTCACACAGCTTCAGACGGGACCCTAAGGGCCCGACGCACCCGTCATACCGAAAGGAGAGAACGGGAAGATCTTCAAACTGGACTCAGTGATCCAGCCGGCGCACCGCCTGTTCAGCAGCAGCCGGCTGATGGGTCTGCTCCCATTACAAGAAACGAACTCATGACCTTCATGAGGGGCTTCAAGGGAGAGATTTAAGAGTTGCTCAACAAGAAGCCGCCTGCTCTGGCCAAGGAGCAGTCGGCTAAGAAACCTTCCTCTTCAGGGAAGAGGAAGCCTGTTCAAGGGCGAGAGGCGACCCCTCATCCTAACTCTAGGAAGTGGGAGCCGCCTGTCCTTGATTTCACAAAGTACCACTTTCCTACTCCAGGAAAGAGGAAACCTGTTCGTCATATTCAGGCGGACGGGTCGAAGAAAACATACACAGATGCTCGGCTATTGCTAGAGCAGAAGAAGAATGACCGATTGTCAGAGTCGGCCTCTACTTCAGACTTCCAAGACAGTCTACGCAATACCTCGATGAGGTATACTCAGTCGCATCATGAGAGTCAGTCAGGCGGTACCTCCCGTCAGTGCGGCTTTCATAGTGACCAGGCGGTACCAAACTTACCATTTGTACCGCAACAACAATATTTTTTGCAGCCACCTCTGTTTGGAGGGCATGCAGCAAAGAATGTCCAACCTATGGACTGGCACCTACGGTTGCTTAGACTTGGGGAACAGCCGTCGGCCTTCTCCAAGGAAATTACTGAAGCCGCTCAGCCGGCCAAAGTGAAAAATGTATTAGTAGGCGCCTATGACGGCACTACTAACCTAGAAGACCATTTGATGGCATTCACCAACCTGATGTACCTTCAAGGGTTGGATGATCCCACTTGGTGCAAGTGTTTTCTAGCGACTCTCAAAGGAATCGCACAACAATGGTTCGGCAACCTGCCGACTGGTTGTGTGAATAACTTCAGGACGCTTGCTTACTTATTCACCTCCTACTTTTCCATGAACATACCTGCGAAGAAGACGACCCTTGATTTAGGAACGATTCAGCAGGGCGAGAAGGAGGGGCTTCGTTCTTACATCAGGCGGTTTAACCTGATGAGAATACAGATTCAAGGGTTACCGGATGAGGTAGCCTATACTGACTTTTTCAGAGGCCTCAAAGACGGGTCGACATTCAAATTTGATTTGGTTCGAAAGAGGGTGACGACTCTTGAAGAGGCCTTGATTGAAGCGGAAGCCTATATACAGGCGACTGATCTTTGTAGTACGGGAAAACAGTCAGATGGGAAAAGGTTCGACAAAAGAGAAGGACGACAGAAACAGTCGTCGAACAAAGATGAGAAGAAGAGAAAAGAGGTCTGGGGGGCTGATTCCTCTAAACAGCCGGCCCAGAAGAAGAGGAAAGAATTCAAACCATACTCCCCAAAGTATGCGTTTAACAAGGATAGCCAAGCTATCCTAAAGGAAATCAAGGGACGGATCTCAATTGAGAAGCCGGCCCCCATGAAGGGTTCTGCAAGCAACCGGAACCAAGAAAAATTCTGTGATTATCATGAAGATGTTGGTCATCACACCAACGAATGCATCAGTCTCATGCGGTATCTGGACCGCCTGGCTGAGCAAGGCGATCTTGACTCTTATGTCAAGAAATCTACGGGGAACACTTCCTCGAAAAAGCAGTCGGCCAAAAAGAGTCAACAGGCCGACAGCTCTGATACAGATGATGCACTCGTCTACACCATTGCAGGCGGCCCCACTATTAGGGGCAACAAAGACAATATCAGGCGGCTAGACGTAAATTCCGTTCACCAAGGACGGCCCTCCAAATATTCATTTCCTGAGATTGTCATCACTGAAGAAGATCTAGGAGGGGTAAGGGGGCCGCATGACGACCCTATCGTTATTGAATGTAAAGTGGCCAACCAGAGAGTTGGCCGAATCCTTATAGATACCGGAAGCTCCTCAGATCTTATCAGTAGCAAATGTCCGTCAAAACTCAAATATCAGACTGATTGCATACATCCGGCATCCCACCCTTTAATAGGGTTTGGAGGAGGAGTCGTCCACCCAGTGGGACGAGTGGATTTACCCATCCGCCTGGGTGAAAAAGGGGAAGGACGACACATGGTAGTCCGGTTCCTGGTAGTAGAAGAACTCTCGGCCTACAACATGATTCTGGGACGACCAACCCTGAATAATTCCAAGGCTGTTATAATCCCATCTCTTATGTTGCTCAAGTTTGAGAGGGATGATGGAACAGTCGGGTCCCTAAGGGGAGATCAGAGGATGGCCCGAGAGTGCTATCTCTCGGATATCAAGCCCACTGTTATGGCCGCTGGGTCAAGTGGTGGAAAAACAGACCTTGACAATGTCAAGGAGAGTGCGCCTGTTCAAGAAGCAGGCGGCAAGAAGAGAAAGGCAGCCCAGACGGGGGCCGCAAGAAAAGACAAAAAAATAGCAATCATTGGCAGAGGAGCGGTCGGATGAATTCCGCCCTCAGCCGGCTGGTGAGCATACGGACCTGATCTTAGACGACTCGCGTCCTGACCGAACAGTCAAAGTTGGGACGACTGCTCTGAGAGTCCTGGGTGACGACTTTCACAAACTATTGAAAGAATACAAGGACATCTTTGCATTCGAAGTCCACGAAATGCCAGGCATTAGTCATGACCTGGCGGTACATAAACTGGATGTGGATCCGAAAAAGAAGCCGGTAAGGCAGAAGAAGCGGAACCATGGCGAAGAAAGAAGTCAGGCGGCAGCCGCCAAAGTTAAAAAATTACTTGATGCAGGGTTCATTCGGCAATGTTACTTCCCAGACTGGGTTGCAAATGTGGTGCTTGTTAAAAAGCCGAATGGCACCTGGCGAATGTGTGTAGACTACACAGACTTAAACAAGGCGTGCCCCAAAGACAGTTACCCTCTGCCTAAAATTGATAACCTGGTTGACTCAACAGCCGGCCATGCTTTGATGAGCTTTATGGACGCCTACTCTGGTTTCCATCAAATTCCTTTATGGAAGAAAGATCAGGAGAAGACGGCCTTCGTCACTGATCAAGGGTTATACTGTTACACGGTTATGCCGTTTGGTCTTAAGAATGCCCCGGCCACCTTCCAGCGAATGATAAACACTGTGTTCTTTGATCAGATTGGGAGAAACGTCGAGGCATACATTGATGATATGATTGTCAAGTCTAAGCTTCAGATAGATCATCTGTCGGACCTCCGAGAAACTTTCGCCACACTCAGGCGGCACCATGTCATGCTCAATCCCAAGAAATGTGTATTTGGAGTTGAGTCTGGGAAATTTCTCGGATTCCTTATCAATCAGAGAGGAATAGAGGCGAACCCTGAGAAGGTGCATGCGGTCATCGACATGCAGTCGCCTCGTACCGTCCGAGAGGTTCAGAAGTTAACAG